AAAGTGCTGCACCTGCCACGAAATCTGCACATGCAGGTTCACAAAGTTGCCTGGAGCTTGAGCTGTTGAAACCAGAGCTAACTGGAGCTAGAGCTATTGAAACTAGAGCTAACTGGAGCTGATGAGTGGTGCATGATGAGTGGTGCATGATGAGTGGTGTATGATGAGTGGTGTATGATGAGTGGTGTATGATGAGTGGTGCATGATGAGTGGTGCATGATGAGTGGTGTATGATGAGTGGTGGTTTGATGACTGGTGTATGATGAGTGGTGTATGATGAGTGGTGGTTTGATGAGTGGTGTATGATGAGTGGTGTATGATGAGTGGTGTATGATGAGTGGTGGTTGAACAGCTGTTGAATGTCCGTAACACGGAAGTTTTGCACACTAAACTTCCTTTGATGACTGCCAAATAGCGAGAAAAGGGAGATACATGGCGCGGCTGTTCCCGCTATTTTTGAGTTGCGCCAACAACTTTCCACCCGGTGTAAGACTGTTCCAATGACCCACATGCACTCCGTCCCATAGTTGACCAACCAACCCTTGAATCTTCGCGTGCGTCTTGGCCCCTCAGGAACTACAGTGATGGCATCGAGGAAGTCCCAGAGGAGTCGGAGGTGGAAGATGCTTGGCAGAGTCGATGGATCCACGCAGTCGGTGGAGTCGATGGAACTCAGGATGACTGTGCAATCGGAGAAGGCCCAATGATCCGGTGAGAAGTCTGTGTGATTTTCTTCGTTTTCGCATCTTCAAATCGTTTTCTTTGTGCCCTTCCTATTGGTGTATAGATGGGTGATGGCCATCTATCGGGTCTATATATATATATATACACGCATATAATGCGTATTTTTTGGAGATCGTTGGAGCAAACCGTAGCATGGAGCGATGACTGCGATGACCAAGGGTCCATGTGGGTCCGGTCGAACCGGGGACGATCGTTACTTCTTCCTCCCGAGGACCGAAGGTGGTGCCACACCCACTCAAAAGCACCGGTGCCAACGCAAGTAGGAAGTGCTTTGCAGGTGAATTGTTTCTTCTTATCCAGATTCTATGTCACTCGGCACTTGGATTCGTTCTGCTCACTGATGCTGCAAGAACCTGTCCCGCCGCTTTAGGAACTGTCCTGACGCTCTGCATGATGGGCGCATCAACTGTACAGTGCTTGGTCGAATTTCTGGGTCCCCGGTCCTCCGGGTCGCCGAACCGGGCGAATCACGGCTGGCTGAATCATGAAGGCCCAGAGCTTTTAGATGCACGCCCATTGGTGTAAGTCTATGGAAGAACATGGCACTTCTCGCATGGGGCGCGAGTTGCATAAACACTCGAAGTTGGGAGGGCAAGTCAGTCAGTTGGGCGCTTGCAGATCTACAAATCAGCTTTGCTAGCTAGGTCCTAGGTGCTCGATGTTGTCAAATCTCGCCCCAGTCTAGGAGGACTGCGACCTGAGAGATGTCAAAAGATTGCCATAGCCGCAGCAGGCCAGTGAGAGTAGCAACCCAGAAGCAGTTGCATGGAAGGTTCCTCTTTTGGAACGCATATGCATACCTCGTGTTGATACAGTATGTAGTAGATTGGTCTCCCATAGATTCCCTCTCTCTTTCTCTCTCTCTATCCCACAATCAGGGCAGCCGAGCAGCCCCGCATTCAAGATTGTTTTCCAGGGGCCCATGGTCTATCATTGTTTAAGGGTCGAGCAGGCTGTACTTTTCAGGCTGCTTCGTCCAAGCCATAGTTTGAAGCATAGTCATAGTGTTTTTACCATAAGAAACGTGCCATAAGTTTTCTAAGACAGGCAGAGGGGAAATTCAACACATCAAGCCAGAGAACTTTTCACATGGTTGAGATACTGTTGAATCCTTCCCAGGGTCGAGGTAGTACTAGAGGACGCTTATCCACCATTTGTGAGACTCCGGCAGTGAGAGGACCAGTTTTCGTGGTAGGGCTGGAAAATGATTTGAACATAATTGAACTTTAGCCTGTTTGCGCAGATGAAATCGCTAGAATCACAGCATCAAGCGTCCGCGGATGTTAGGGGGTGCCCAATGCGTGGCGTTGGTTCATCGCTGGCTACTTCAGGAGCTCTTCCTCAAAGAGGTCTTGCCCTACAGGTTGCCTGGGAGCAGGGCGCGCGCGCAGTACAAGTAATGGATCCATTTATGATAGATTGCCTTCATAGTACACAACTCTGGAGGTATGCTTATTATGCTGCATTTATGGGTGTAAAGCATGCAACAAGTTTGAAGTCTTCGTGCGTTTGATTTACAAGGCCATCGGCTAGTCTTCCAGTACTGCCCCTGTTGTGTTTTTTCATTGAGATCTTGGAGATCCTCAATAGGATGTTTGTGGGATCCGGCTTCCAGTTGAAGCAGTTTGGTCTTTCTTTGCCTTGCGGGAGGCACAATATTCCTTTTGCTTCTATAGGTGGACCAGAGTGATTGTTGAGTGGATGGGGTTCCCACTATGTAGAGCAATGTAGAGATGATAGGTCAGGTCCACTATCGAATGGACGCTGTCAAGACTCGCCAGGTTCTGTTTTCGTTGTCGTTGTCCCACAAGCTCCAAGTAAGATATCATAAAATATGACTCAAATGCAGGGCGGCTGCCAACAGTCAATGTCAATGACCAGGACAAGGTTCACTTCTGTTTGTCAATGTCCAAGCGTCAGATATCGAAACCCGACTCCTTTGAACGGCTTTCCACTCCAACACGATCCAACCAACAAAAGCTTTGCCATCCATTCGTTTCCACCAAATTCTCGATTAACAGTGGAGCATTTCCGCCTTTGTCGAGTCCAAATTGATTTCGGCCCGTTGACGTTCGCATGTGGACTGCACCAGAGAACACCGATGAATCAATGGCGCCAAGCGCGAAGTAGTCTGTAGTAGCGTCCGCACGTAGCGTCCGCACGTAGCGTCCGCACGTAGCGATGCAGGAGGAAGAAACAGACCAACTGCGCAACATTTGAAGATGTCCAGTGATTGCTGGGGAGTGTTAATTTTCAGGGGTGTAACCGACATAACTCGGAAATATATGAAACATACCAATTGTTGACGGGTATGTCCAGTGACTCAGTGAGAACTCATCAGCCCTTTGTGGATAAGCTTGTTTTCTAAATCTCTTGATGGAGTGATCAACGCTAATAGCGGCTGAGTCATTTGTAGAAAGGCATCACGAAGTGCATTAGAGATGTGGTCTTATCGATCCCCGATTCCCTCAATTTCTGCCCTGGTACATGTAACCGGTCCTCCAAGAGTTCGCAGTCTCTCACCATTTGCACATGTTGCTTCCCATGTCTGGTGATTGCCAGGGTGGTCGATGAGCCCGTGGACCATTGGAGGGAGGGCTTCTTCCAGGTCTTAGCGCGACCCCCGGTGTGACCCGCCGAACGAAGGACTCCCCGATAACACACCGTTCGAAGACCAAAGGGGTTACGCCAGGCGTGTGTTGACCTGTGTGTCTACTCCATGTGTTTGATGTTGTAGTGTGTGTGTGTTCTGTTGTTTATTTTCCTTGGCTGCCATGTTACATGTTTTTTCAGGTGGGTGGGTGGGTTTGGATCAGAGGGGTCAAGAGCTGATTGAAGGGTAAAGGCACCACTACAAAACTCAGTTTTTTGCATTTGGGATGGTTGTTGTGCTGATCAATCCTCGTACCTTGACATATATGGTTAATGTTGCTCCAGCTATTTGACCGAAACTTGTCTTCGTATCCAGGCAGTTTGGCGATGGGTTTTGGCTCCCAGGTCTTGGGAGTGTTTGTTTGCATTACCGTAACAAGGCACGCGCGAGGTTTGGGAGAGATCCAAGGTTTTATGAAGAAACCATAGATAGCGATCCTTGTCTTTGTTTATGTTTGTTTAGTATCTTTGTACGTGATTTTCTTTTGTCAAAAGTTGGCATAGTTTGCTAATACTAGGTACAGTCTCTTACATTCAAGATGCTGCATCCTTTCGCTGCAGTGTTCACCGATATGCGATCAGTTGCAGTGTTCAGTGTGCTTCCCTTCCCCCACCCACACACACAAGCATGGAAGTGGAATACTCCCTCCATGCAGAGGAAAATGTGTCTTCCAAGGGGCTATCTTCCACCTGCATGATTGTTGGAGGGAGTCGATTGTTGAGATGCAGCTGGAACCCACATAAAATTATCGGAATTATATACGTTCGTTTGTGAAAGTCATGCACGGAGTGCTGTTGGATGTGTTTCCACTGAGGCCCCGCATGCCATGCGGGCCACCAGCTTGCGAGGGGCCGTGGAGGAGTGACTGGGCTCGAGTGGCAGGGCTCCCCCCGGATGCCAGAGTCTCGAAGAAAGGAATCAATCTTTGCAGATGTTATGGTAGTAGATGGGCAAGACTACAATATGTGGTCAACCTTCGGGAGGCTTGGTTTTCCCAACCTCGGGAACCGGAGGGAATTCACAAAATGGCTGCAAAGGGTTCACCTCCAGCAAGCAGGCAGTGGGCATCAACATCACTTCCAGTCTGACGGTCAGCATGGGCTCATCGCTGGGCCCCAACACCAAACTCATTGCCCAAATTGTCCTTTCACTGGGTGTACCTTATATTTAAAGACACATCCAGGGTATATATATACCCTTACATGAGTCCTTACATGTTGGAATTTTTAATTTGGACATCCAGGTATCAATTACTCCATGGTACCCCCCATGTCCTTGACACCCCCGGTGTCCTTGGAAGATGGGCCATGAGAGGACCTGGTGCCCCGGATCTTCCAGGAGCTCCGTGCCTCGCCCAAGGCGAGCGTCATAGGTTGTCATAGGATACTTGAATCATCTTGAATCCCCCTGCTTAGCCGTGGGGCACCGTGACCGTGGGGCACCGTCCGCATATATTTACTTTAAGGTGTCATGTTACTTATATATACTGTATGATGTTTTTAAAAGTAGAATATTGCATAGAGAGAGAGAGATAAACCCAGATGGATCCCACATCCAAGATCAGGTGGCATGAACTTAATGCCTGGCTGCTTTTGGGAAAGGAACGGGATCCGGCAAGGCCTATTCATTCTTGGTGCTGTTAGTCTAGAGAGTTTGGCTGACAGAGCAACCACGCGGTGGAGTCCTCGTTTTCCAAACCTTCTTTAGATGGATTTACAAATGTTTTAGGAATGTTTGGGGGAATTAAGGTTGTAAACTGCTGAAAACTAAGGATGCAAACCCCTTTGCAAAATCACAGACAGAGCGGTTTGGACAATTGACAATCACTTCTAGAAGGCTGCCGTGATGTGACACGAATTTGGAGGGGAGTCAGTATGCTGTAGCTTTTTTTGGTTAGGACCCAGGGCGCAGCTTGTTCTTTCTCCATTGAAAATTGATGGGTTTTCCGGATGTTCTGTGGCGTGGAAACACTCCAGATGGATTTGATTCCTTTTTAGGGGGGATGACAATCATGTTCATCACCAGGATCTAGATGGATTTGGTACGTAGGTTTGGCTTGGCAAGATTCTCACAAAGTTTGGAGCATCTCCACATATCTCCACAATCGAAATCAGTTCGCTGTCCTAAGCCGCTTGTGAAGATGATCACCTTGTCCCAACGCTAAAGAAATCAAAAGAACATCAACATGATATAATAGTCTCCGCTTTGCAAAATAATACACGAACCAATGCGGTTCAAAAACACGCACAACCCTAAACCCCGGAGTTCCCATGTCTCATCACGCCCTCCGGCCGAGGGCGGTAACCGGTAGCGTAGGCCTTCCTTTCCACACATAACATCCTCCGGTCATGCAGGTCATGCGGAAGCCCAACCAGACGGCTGTCGTGTTCAAGTCCAATTCGACTCCTGAGATGATGGCGCGCCTCGGCCAAACACTGCCAGCCAGGTCGACACCGCGTGCGTGGGTTCCATAGCCTGGTGATCTTGCAGCCCTGGCGCTGGGTGGAAATGGCAAAAGCTACCGAATTTACACCATAGTGTTCCAGGATGGTTGCGGTGACACTGTTTCATCAGAGATGATGGACCGCTGCAAACGCTGTAACCCATGAGGGGGCCGCTGATCCTCATGACTATTAACAGGTTTCTCTCCCTTATTCATATTCGCCACTATCATCCACGCGTTTCACCGCGATTTGCATGGTCACTGCCCGGATTCCCATGCGGTTCCCATGCCCGGATCGACGTCATGTCGAGGCCCATCAGCGAGACCTTGACCTCAGGCTTTGGCAGAAGATGTGCGGAGGAAGGATGACCTGGTCATAGAACTGAACTGGTTCTTTGGCTTGGAGTTCTGCTCTTTTGAATATCTGCGTATACACCCAATGCAACTGGAGCCGTCTGGAGTTTGGACGTGCTTTAATTATCTTTAATTGTGTTTCATGTTCTGTTTTCATAGACCCTGGTTCACCCAGAAGCGATCACAGAAAGAGCGTTGACCGGTACCCTGTGATCCTGTGGCAACACGCATTGAGTTTGAGACACCAGACGCTGGGAGCCTTTGGATGCTTCTAGCACTGTCCCGCAGCCTTCGCATTCCAGGATAAGGGGAATTCTTGATTCTGCGTTTTCTTGATTTACATAATTCATTGTGATAAACCCTGAAGTAATCGCTTGGCTATGCATCGTCCGGTCGCCAACATCAGACCGAAAGACCAACCTGTATGGTCTTCGAATTGTCCTCGATCAGAAGTGAAGAGGGTCGGTCTAATTAGTCTTCAGTCCTCACTGGGCTGGGCTGGGAGGTGCATAGAAACCGGCCGCCAGGCTATGCCTCTTGCACCGGGAGCTCCATCTTGATTGTCGCGGGGGAGACCCAGGGTGACCCACCTTTGCCGGCCGAAGGTTGGGACGCACGTGTTTCACCACTCCAGAGGTGTGATCACTCCAAGTTCAAGTACCCAAGCCAACTGCAATCGAATCCAACAGTAAGACTGTAGGAATAGGTTTTGGAACCTATCCATACCTATCCTTCATACTGCATCATATGGCTTGATGAAACATATTGAAAGATTACCACTATCCCCAAGTGTGGTCGGATGAAGAACAATGACAAGATCTTGGGACAGATTCTGTCATGAGTTCACTTGAATCCGATGGACCCCATAAAATTAGGTGCCGCGTGCAGGTGGTTCAAGAGATATTTCAGGCTGCTTTCCCCAAGCTTCAGCCGCCAGGATGGCTTGCGGTCGGTGGGCATCCCAGCACGACTGGCCGCGAGCTCAGCAAGCTGGCAGGGGGGGTCGCTGCCGTGCGGTGAAGGACCACGGCACTTGTTGAGAAGGGTTTGTTTTGCAGGGTCCATGTGAACAACCAGCATTTGAGCATGAACTTAAGCGTGCTGGCCATTTTGGGGGACAGACTAAATTCAGCGGCCTTTGGACTTGGACGACACCTGAAGATTGTGAAGCTCCTGTTTGAAGAATGTGAAGATCGGCCTTGAATGGCCTTGTTTATCCGACTGAAACCTTTTCTTCACCGAACTGCGGCCTACATGTTGGATCCTCGGGATCCAACATGTCTTGAGTCTTGCACTCACCGTCGGGTCAACTCCCGCTTGGCAGCTTAGATAGGGACATACATCTATTTACAAGCCACATGAAGCTACAGCAATTGTTTTGTGTTGCCGAGGTTGAATTTCAGGAGTGACAGTGAGAGCTACTTTGTTCAAGCTTGGGTTCCACTGTTTTGATTTGTGTGCTGGAGACCCAAATGGTACCCCTGCCCTTCTCAAACCGTTGATTCTTAGTAGCTAGACCAATCTTTAACCAAAAACATGCTGGCGTCGGTACGATGCATGTTGCAGGGAGGAAACCGCCACCATCAAGCACATCTGAAGACTTAGACGTTTTTGTGTGTCGCACCACCCTTTAACCTTGTGACAAGTCCTGTTGATTCACCAGGACCAAGTCTTTGCATCCAAAATCGGCAAGGAATGTCCACAACCCCACCAGGTTCCACATTTCTTCGGTCCGTTGGTTCAGAATTCCCCAGCTTTGGGAAGGCCATGCCGCTCTCAGGTTGGAACGCCGCAGTGGAACGTTGGGGGGCCTATGCCAGACGTCAGCCCACTGCTGTGAGGCTTGCGTAATTGGGGACTCTTGAAATGTTTCTTGCCTAGCCTTGGCTCGAGAGGCTAGAGTGGCTAGAGGCCAAAACACATGAACAACAAGCGAGAAGTGTGTTTTTTGCCAGGAATGGTGGACCCTCGCTATGACAGTCATCACAGGTGCGGTTCTAGCCGCCCGCCAGCTGCGCTGTGCCTGAGATTCCGACGGGTGGCAATCACAACTGGGTGGAGGTTTGGCCAGAGCCTCGGGCCGTCGCGCGGTGGACGGCGGTGGACGAAGACATTGGGAGCAACCTCACCAGGGTTTCAGTTTATTTTGTTTTACATAGCAGTGTAACTTTAACCTTTACTTGGGATAATTGAACCTTCTGACCACCAACCAGTCACTGATTTGGAGAGTTGAGGTCATATTCCGGCCATTTCTATCAACAAAAAGCCGACTTTCAGGTAGATGACAAGCAAGCCCTAGCCTATATAAGTGAATCACCCGATCGTAAAATGCAGGTATATAATATGATACATTGTGTTCCGAGGAGGGTGCGGCCAAAGTACACATTTCCTCGTCTCCGGATGTTCATTCGCAGCAGGGCATTTTATCATGTTTTTGATTGGCCGATAACATGATAGTAGCGTCCTTGCTCCTAGTAGCGATGCCCTTTGCTCCTGGTAGCATACAGCCTCCAAGAAGAACCTGTTAGTGAACATGTTATTTGCATCGACCAAAGTGTACCCATGCCCTTGCATACGATGGGGGTCTTGATGATGAAAAGACATGCCTCTCTTACCCGTCATACAGACCATTACAGAAATATTCTGGAACCGGTGTGCCCAGAAACACCAAAGAGGACACAAAAACGGCATATCTTAAAAAGCCGACATCAATGTTCATTACATTGTGTTGACCCCCCTCGAATCGCTGGCGCCCCCAGCTCCAAGCATTCCAATATCCAAACATGTAGCATAATATAACTTATGATCCCCTCCTTTACAAGTTGGGTGATCCAAAATATATGATATTTGTTTGCGGAATCAGCATCCCCATGCGCCAAATTACGAGGGATTGATTTGAATGTGCACGTGCTGAGATGACTTGGTTGTCAGGTATACTATACTCGATCCACCCAGTGGCCTGTCAGTGGTGTAGAGATTCGCTCAGGATAGGATGATCTCCTACAGACGTTTGGAGGATTGATCCTGAGTAAGGTGCAAATCCAGAGATCCCAAATCTGATATAGGTGGTGCCAAAAAGCTCCGGGATGGTACCTTTTTGTCAGTGATTCTAGACATGAGGGCGTCGATGGGGTCTTGGGTGCGTCCACGGGACAACACGACGGGATGTCATGTCTCAACATAAAGACGGAATCCTTCAATCTCAATCTGAAAAAATAGACACCAAAAAGCGACCATGGATGCTTCTGGGTGCTGGTCCTTAGCCTTGGCCCAACGGTGGGGGTTCGGGGCTGACACGCACCGTCCGCACCCCACCGCCCAACGGGCGCCAAGGACGGGCGATGGCTGGCACTTCTTTGATGTCGGGTCTCCGAGAGACTGGAACTGTCCGAGCGGTTCGTCCCCCAGTGGGTCGTGTGTTCAAAGGAGGACAGGGACCTGGGTGCCATGTCCAAAGTGTGAAACCTAAGGTTTGCCCCACGTATGCCGACGCTCTTGTTTAATACTTGATTTCCATGGTAGTTGAGTCCATCCTGCAAGAAACGCATCCAGGACTCCAGAATTGCCTCGATTCTTTAGTGACATTTAGTGGAGTTGGTTCAGTCTATATAGTCATGTATCAAAATCGATGAAGCCACTCTCATTCAGCAAAAAGGGTTTTACAGGGGCTTTTGACCAGTGCTCACATGCTTGGCCATGGTTGCCCCTGTTTGGGTGAATGGAATCTTTAGGGCGGCTTTGTCATCGGCATAGAAGGCAAATGTTGCAACCTGCTGGGGCAGATCACCTTCTAAACCTGTGGGTTGCAAGAACATGCTGCTCTTCTACCGCTTCTACCAAGTGCTCAGAGCAATCACCTGAGCTTTGCTGGACTTGGTGTCAATGTCCACCGATCTGGTGAGGCAGTGCCGGATGTTCGCTTGGATGAGGTGCCACTGGCTCTTCGGGCACTTAGCTTATCACTGATATTGTTGAGAACTAACAGTAAACCTTTGGCAGATGTTGGCAGTGTTGTTTTGCTTCAGGATTTAGGATGATTTCGGACGGTGTGGCCAGAAGTGTTTCCATGCCGTTGGTCTCACAACGTGCCTCTTGACCGTTGGGGATGTCACTGTTTGGAGAGCCATATGTGCAGCCTGTAGGAACCATCAGCCGGATAGCACCGGGTCATCACAACTGTCCAGACCGCGGCTAAGTATTACTGTTATTAAATGTGAGTTGGTGTGGATAAACCTTTTTCTATAGTCACCATATATATATATAGATTGAAGATTTGTTAGTTTGTCCATTTGGGGTCTCCAATGCATTGTTGGCTTTTGGCTATAGGTTGAATTGCAGACACTTCAGTGACAGATAAACGACGCATTGCTATGGGTACAGTCATTGTACCTAGGGCCCAATGGCAAATTTGCCTTGACTTGCCAGGCCTGGTTTGCGCCTAGCAACACCAAGTTTGCCAACAACAAGGATGGCGATTCCGAAGTTCCGAAGGGATTAAGCGTTGTACGTTCCGCCAAACTAGAGGAACGTAAGCAGGATGATCGGATGGAGCTGAAAAAGCAGCCACCCAAGGACTCTTACAACTCATTGGTATGAGGCATGCATGATAAAGCATGCATGCCCAACAGGGTCACTGTTCATGTTGCACGATGAGAGCGAGAAGGCTTTCGTTGCAATTTAGCAGTCAGGCAGCTCGCGAGTCTGATTCACACATCCCCGCAACAGCTTCCTGGAACTGGACATGAACCGCAGGCTGCACGTGATACACATGTGGATGAAGGTTCCATTCACCATCCTTCACCTATTCTGCTTTGATTTGTTGCGTTTGTTACATTGCATTCATCAAGTGTATGATTGAATTATTTTGACATCATCCAGATAGGAACATGAGCTCCTCATCCAAAAAACATTGGGCAAGAGCAGTAAACATAGTAAACTCAATTGGTTGGAACCTATTCTTATGCCCAATGCTGGGTTCAGATCTGAGATACGCAGTGGCTACGAGCCCGTCGAAAAACCGAAGGACTCGACACACGCCATCCTCTCGGCGGAGTGGACGAAGGGCGTTTCTGGGTTTCCAAGCCGAGTGGATGGAGGGTCCGTTCTGTGTCTGGCATGTGGAGTATTGTACTGATGACGCAAGAAAGATTCAGAAAGATATGATCCAAGCCTGACTGGACACAGGCCAGCATGTACATGATGTTACCTGCACAATCCTGCAAACCTACATTGCGGCCCAGGCTGCTGCCGTGACTTGTATAATCAATGGCGGCAAAATGTTACAAATGTATGTGCTACCCGCCCCCGTCATGTACCTACCTTTTTTGGGGGTTTTAAGTATTTTGCAAGTTGGAGCTGTCATGAAGCTCAGACAATTGTACTTCAAATGCAGCTAAATGCAAAAAGAGTCTGTAATTTTTGATTCAGTATCAAACTGTCCAAGAAGAATGTGATTGCTAAAGGCACTTTAAAAAGGACGTTGATTGTTTAAACGCTCCCGACGCTCCTGCTTGGACTTGGAGCTGCTAATGCTATTGTCGATCAATAGGCGAGGCTGAGTCTCCAATGAGTCAAGGTTTCAACAAATTAGTTAATCCAAGGCCAAACCTTCAAGATTCGAGATTGAAGCTTTCAGAGAAGTTGTTGAATCTCCTGACCAACATACATACATTTTGAAGGTTGGGGGCTTGGATTCAAGAATTCTTTCCTGAACTGCAGTTCTTTTGGGACATCCCTGCCCAGCCAGGAGTTCTCCTGGCTTGACAAAGAAGGATCTCCTTCAGGTTAAGACTCATCCACCTTAACCAGACCAGTCTTTGATTCACCGGGTTTGCTCAAGGATGCCACATATCCATTGACATGGCGAAAGCCTGCGGTCTTGTGGCGTGCGGAGGACAGCTTCCGCCCAGGAAGGCGGTCTAGATTTGAGGTTCCATCAGTGGGCAGGGCGCAGAATGTGCTGCGACTAACACTTGCGAGCAAGACTAATTAGACATCATACATGCTATATACAGTATTTTTGTAGAAGTGTTGGGTGTTGGGCATGCATTGCTTCGGATGTGTCCATGAATCCAACCTCCTCACAGACCCAGACTCACCAGGCAACCTTCGAATTTGGGCTTCGCCATTTTCTTGGTTTATGGGCAACTGGAGTACGCCCACGACCATTTGGCCTTTGTTAACCAACACCAATGTTAAGCTTTATGCCGCACGCCATAATTAATAACCTCTCAATAGTCGGCAGATGTCAGCAGCCTTCAGCCATTGCAGCCCAATTAGACTGCCCAGAAGGAGCATGCAGAAGATTTTGGCACAAAGCGATGATTAGATTAGGCTGTTTTTTGCCTCTAAGGTCTTGCTGACGCCGCGCTAAGAACATACTCGTAGGTACTAGGTAGTTATTCAATGGACAGGAAGAACGCACCCAAAGTCGTGTTGCATGACTGGATGTCACGAGAAGGTCTATGGGAGGAAACTGCATGTGCAGTTATCACGGCATTGTAAGGCTGGATTCAATCAAAGGCCCTGCTGTAGACATAATGGGAAAGCGTGCACGACCGGGCCTGGTCGTGGGTTTGGTGGCAGCTGTTGCTCGGCGTTGCAGGGTGAGGGGTTTAAGCATCAAAAGGTACCTGTATAGGCCTCAGGCACACCATGCCATACCAAGGTTCAATGGGAGGGTCCCCATTGAGAAAGGCCTGCACTAGCAGCCATCACCCACTGAGACCTGTTAATTTGACGTACCCAAGTCATAGCCTGAAACATCCTCCAACGCCGACCAACGAGTGAACGATCGAGTTGGGGGTTGAAGATGCTGAAGCTTATTATCGAGCCTGTACGTGAAAGCTCAGCTCATTGAGGATCCCTTTTTTCGGGGAGCGACATGTTGTTCACTTAATGTTTGCATGTCCAGAAGTGCATCGCTTCAACGACGACTCAGAATTAATATTGGATTTATCTGATTTTTGATTCGCCACGAAACAGATCAGGACCTGGCACAAGAAGACTGTCGTCAACAAAACAGACATGCAACTCACAGGGAGGCAAAATGCTCGATGGCAAAAGGAAACTGGCCTTCACCCCAGAAGACGTGCGAGAGGTTTTTGCCCAAGAGACTCATCTGAAGACCTTGTGAATTTTGCCATGGCCATTTTTCACCGGAGGACCTTTGATCAAAGACACTTGAGCCTTAGGACGCCCGCTTGAGCCCAGGTGCTTTGCAGTCAATGTCCTGCCTTTAGCAGTCGCACCCCTCGGGCGACACGCGTCCCCCGCGCCGCGAGCGGGCCCAGTGAGGGTCGGGTGCTGCGCGTGCTCGTGGCTTGGCTTGTGGGGTTTTGCCCAGTGGAACCTCCCTGGTTTGTAGGGGAGAGCTGGAGGGGCTCCACACACTGCCGAGAGCACTGCCCCCCCGACAGTGCTTTTCTTTCGAGAGATTATGTTTGCAGCTGCGAAGGATGAGAATCAGATCCACCTCCCCGGAATGCTTGACCGATCGCAGATTCATGCCAACCATGATATACTGTATGTTAGTATGTTTTCAAGCATAGACAGCATAGCTGGGAAAGGAAGGACTGCAAATTAGACATGTTTGCAAAAGCTCCAGCGGGACAACAGGGCTCAAAAATACAAACATTTTGGTCAGTTGAGCTGGACGTTCCTTAAGTGGAGTTGCAGGCTCGAATCTTGGGATGTTCCTTTGTTCCGGCTCTCTTGGCTTAGGCTTTGGGTTTCTTTCCACTCGTTCCACAAGAACGGCTTGGAGACTGATTGCTCATCTTTCGGAACCACGCTTTGGTGAGAGCTTCCCCAAATCTAAATCAAATCAAATGTAGACTCTTGATTAATAAGCCCACCCCAAGTGCCCACGGGACCACGGGAGGCTTTTATTCATCGAGAGCCGATCTACATTATCAAAGAAACATCAAGCAACCTTATGGATCCTTGGTGAGGCCCCGGGCATCCTCGGAATCAACCGCTGCTGCTAGGTACCCATCGCTGAAGACTCCGAGGAGATTGAAACGGCCTGCATCACCGACGTGCTGACGCGCGCGGGTGCGGAGGTGACCGTGGCCAGCTGCAGCGAAGCATTGCAAGTTCGCATGTCGCGCGGGTTGAAGGCGAAGGGTTGGACGGGACGTCCAGTGCGGTTGAAAACGCTGGTAAATGTTCACATCGATGCATTGAGCCTCGTGAAACATCAAGTCCCAAAAGGTGTAGAAGAAGACAGCAGCAGCAGCAGCAGCCGCCGCGGCAGCGGCAGCGTTTTCCTTGTCTCCTGAATGTTGGTCAAGTTTCGTCTGGAGTCAGACCTTTAGTGGGGAAGTTGGGATTGAGGGGTTGGCCAAAATGGTAGCCAAAACTGGCTCAGTCAGACCCAAAGGATTTTGGTTTGTGTGCGGGATGTTGAGCAAGCTTGAACAGATCCAGAAAGCCTATGTTCATGTTGAGAAGGGGCCTGGCCAGGTAGCATCAGTCGCCTTTCGGCCACGCCTCAGTCGAGTCGAGACGCTTCCTTCAAAAAGTATCATGATTCATGACCTCATGCGGATGGACTTCGGCAATTGGTGGGTCCGAAGTCGATGATGCCGAATCTTGCCAATCTTTTTTCAAGAGGGAGAGGCAGGTGGGGTGAGGAGGGTTGAGGGGCCAACCAGCCCTATGAACTCCCTAAATGACAAAAGAGTTGTTTGCTGCAACGAGACCGCTCCATACGCCTCTACAGTATTTGGCAAAACAGTCTTCACCAGCCATCCCATTTGCAGGTGGTGGCCGACAAAGACATCAGCGACTGCAAAGGTGTCGCTTGGGATGCGATCGCACTACCAGGGGGGATGCCAGGCGCCTGTCTTTGGGACACTTGGCCGTGCTGTTTTGATTTGGATGGGCATCGGTCGGACGGTTCAGCGTTTGGGAAACCCAAGAGATGCATGGCATGGCGTTGGTTTTGTGCCCTAGGTCTAGGTTGAGGCACTTTCTTGCTCCTCCCCATGGTGGTATCAAAGTGGATCACCCTCAATTAAGCACCAAGACTTTCACTCAATCCTGCTACGCTACCCGGTGGTTCCTTCGTGGAACGACCTTCACCCACTTGTTCTCGCTTGCAACCTGGCGCTGTCCCGTCACAGGAGCGGAACACCTTCGAGACAACCAAGTTCTCAAGGAGATGCTGCAGGCAGGCAGGGATTCTCGAATCCACGTGGTCGGTCGGGGCTGGATGTGCTTGAGTTGGGTGCGTTTGAGCTTGCCAAGACCGTTAGTTAGTTCACACTTAATTTAGTTAATGTTTCAATTTCTGCACCTGACCCCTAAGGGCCCCAAACCCCGTGCTTCCATGTGCTTCCGTATGTCACTGTGTGTTTATCAGTCCTTTATTGTGGATGGCCCACCCTTTATCCAACGAACATGGAAGTGGATGGCATGTTTTTTTGGGGAGGCTACCTTCAGTCCTTTGCAAGCAGGGAGTGAACTTCACCAAACCATGTGAGTTGGGCTGTGAAGTTGACCTGTCCTGCAACCACGGTATCGCGTTGGTGACCATCGAAAAATGCCTGAAAGATCATGCAAGTGGATGGCATGGCCCCTGAGATGACTGATTTTCCTCTCCAAACAGGTGGGTTTCCACTTCCATGATTCTTTCAGGGAGTATAAGCAAGAGATATCAAACCGGGCCAGTGGCCCATCCACCCTTGCAGCTGCAGCTTTTGCATGCTTTTGCTCCTCCGCGACAAGGAGCAAAAGCTCAGTGGTCGCTTGACCTGTGCGGTTTGCGCAAGTCCTGCAGTGGTCTTCGCCCAACATGGACTCTTAGAGCCGCTTGGCGCTGTTGCACAGGCCGTCCGATGGGGAGACAACAACAGTCAACAGTGGGGATCCCCGTTTGAATTTCCACTCTATTTTAGTCGGATTCTTGGGGTGTGTTGATTCTGCAGCACAGCGCTGGTGTGGAGGAAGCAAACGGAGCAGGGTCAAATTCAACGTTCATTCTCAGCCAAAGACCGCCAACAAGGAAGGTGCTGAACCGCTAATTGACCCCTTCAACTTTTGACGTAACTGGAATATGGTGATTTGCGAAGTCACTGCAGCCAATGCGGAAGTTCAATTCAACAGCCAATCAACTGTCAGTCTTACCGTCCCTTTCAGTTGGGCGGCCAAAGTATGGCGAGAGGTTCAGGTGTGTTCGACTGAAAGCCATGAAACACAGAGCACAAACCATGCGACGACATCACATGGAGAAAAAGCCGCTGCATAGACAGAGACCAAAGCTGTAAAAATCAAAATCGCAGCCTTTGAAGAGCAGCCGTAAGAAGGGGATAGTGGTTTACCGTTTATATATTTATATCCCTTTATTTGGTGTTTTGCGCGGTGGCCACTGTGTGAGTCTGGATGCAGGTTTGCCAGGAGGTAGATGTGTCACTCGCTTGACATGAGAGTTTGGTGCCAAACCAAGGAGCAGCGCCACCTGCTATCCTGCGCCGAAGTTCAAAGAGATGGTGGGTTCCAGTTGGAAGGACCCAAGTGCGATGGGTGTGTGACGACAAGCAGACACTCCATGCAAGCAAAAAACTTACTCTTGGGATCTCTTGGGTGACCTGGGTAGGCTTATATAAATACTATATGGTTTCCTGAGTGGTTTGCTGGTGAATGTAGTTCATATTGACATTCATGGAGTATTTTTGGCATTATTCACCGGCTACAGGCCCTACAGGCACAGCATCGATCCGCTGCTTCCTTGCGGATGCAACAATCCCGACTGGTGAGAACTTTTGTCTATGGAGAACGGGTTCTAATTGTCGTTTTGTGGTGGGGGAGGGTGCGAGATTGTGAAGAGGACAGTCCCAGGGTGGTTTAGAGCAGCGCCTGTCCTGCTCGGAGCTTTTGTTTGACGTGCTGTATGTGATTTGCGTGGCCTGGATGTGCGTTTGCCAAGCTAGTTTTAGTCTATGCCGATTGCAGTTGACAGGATTCTTTCCCAGCAAGTGAACCGTTCGTGAACGTGTTGAAAAACAGTTGGGTGGATTAGAAAATGAGTACATTATAGTACGTACCAGGTATCCACAAAGCTTTGAACATCCTGGAACGGATTGACAAAGTTCCTTTTGGCCTTTGTGTTCTTCATAATTCCAACAGGTCGACTTTTATCCCGTTTCGCTGACGGTGAGCAACCACCTTGCGTTCCTGTTCGATCTTTTCAGCCAGTCTGCAACAACGGTCGAATCCCAATCCTAATCGCAGCAACAACTTTGCTTCACATATATAGGTTCCCACTTGCGACAATTGACTGCTACATACTGCTAATGTGAGTTGGCAAACAGAGAGGCCCAAGGCTGCTGATGGTTACCAGATGGGGGGAGCTTTGCAGGAAATCCTGCAAACAGCACGAACAAATTAGGACGAAGGGTAGTTTTCGAGATCTCGACTGATGTCAATGACTTGGCGAAAGCCGGCTCATAATGTAGACTCTTGATTTACTGTAACCATTTGTAACCGTAAATTACATATATACTTGAATCAAAGAAGAGAATCAAGGACGATGCCTTGACTTTGATGATCCTAAAGTACAGCTCCTTTCGGTTTAACGGTTCAACTCCGTTCCCTCCGGATTCTTGCAGAAAACTTTAGATGGATTGTAAAACATATGCAAACCTTTATCATGAAGGGAGAATTTCTCGCCGCCACATGATCATCCTGTTCACTCAGAAGTTCCTATTCTCACATTCCCATCGGACTTAGCTACGGTCCCTTGGCCTAACTGGACAGAAGTTAAACAAGAATCTCATGAGATTTTCCTGAGACAGGTTCGATCTGGCTTGCTTAGATACAAAGCCTTCGAGGACCTTCGACATCCGGATATAAATTAGATGCTTGAGAACAATTGGCCATACGCCGGGTTATTTCAAGTGACCATTCTCTTGTTTGCCGTTCGCTTTTGTACCTTCCTGTACCTTACTAGCTGCCTTAGGTTTCTTTTCTCACTTGGAACTTCCACCTGCACCCGTCACAATATGTGACAATGGGTTGGCATCCAATTGGGGTGGGTTTATTAATCAAGAGTCTACATTAGGGTTGGGGAAGCTCATGGAAGCTCCCATGTTCCACTTCCAAGCTTTCCACTCTTGGCCCTCCCTGTACGCGCCACCGGGCTGACCACGGGTGGATAACGTCCAGATGGCGCTGAAAGAATCTGAAAGGCCGGCCATGCTGAGCACATTTGGCACAGCAACAGCCCCGGCCTTCACCGAGAAACAAAGCAAAGCACAAGCAAAGCGAAGCCCAAGGACCCAAGGAGCGAAAGGATGCAACAAGACCAAAGGATCCAAAGGGCATTTGTGTTCCGTCAGGTCGGCTTGAATCCATCTGTCCAGGGTGCATACTTCTCAGGCCTCATTGATTGTCAGAACCGCCACAAGGCGCCTCGATTTGGTCCACCTTGCTTCCTTCCAAGTAGGGAGTCTCGAAGTTGTACTGCACCTGCCGAAAAAAGATGTTTTCTCAATGTGAGGTGCGAACTAGACACTGTTGCTGCCATCGAGGAACGTATCGCTTCTGTACCGACTCGTTATTGGCCGCAAAGCCCCATTTATTGCTACATCGCGGGTCCTCAAGCTGTTCTAACAAACAAATCCAGTTTCCCCTTCTTCGGGATGCTTTGTGGCCAAACCGTGGTTTCAAAAGGTGAGCGACCAATCAGTCTCCAAGCCGTTCTTGTGGAACGAGTGGTGTCAAGAGAGCCGAAACAAAGTTCGATCTCCAATGGTAGCGCCATGCCGCCCGGGTGCCGGAGTCTCTGTCAGGATGCTCAAGCGGTGGTGGATGGCAACGTCATTACCAGCCAAGGGCCTGGCACCTCGTTACTCGGCTTTCAACACCCACGGCATGTGGGACAGGTGGATCAGTCGGTGGATGAAGGTTGGAGTTGGTTGGACCACCAGTACCACCAGCAATGATACTTGCATAATTTTTGTTCGGGGGGGTTAGGGACCAAGTCTTTTTTGGGGGTGAATGCCTAATTAATGTTGGATGGTTTGTGAGGTTTGGTGTTTTAAGGGTGGTGCAAGGTTTCCTCGAAGCACATGTTAAAGCTACTAGACATAGAAGTTTGCCTACAACTGACTGAACTTGTGATGAAGCTATCGGTCATTATAGGTCAACATGCCAGCATCAGCAATTGGGCTCATTTCTTGCTCCGGATGGGCATTGTCACAGGCTGCAGTTCGCTTTGAAGATTGTCGAAGAACTCTATGGGAAGGACAAGGCGCAGGACACTGAACAAAACAAAAGATAAACATAGCGACGCACCAAGAAGCAAAAGCTGGTAACAAGCCAAGTGGTGTGGGATTATTTTTTGGGAGTGTTTCTGCTGGGGCCGAGGGGGTTGCCTTGGCCAAAGCATTTTTGAGGAGTTTCGGGTGTTTGGCGGCCTTGTATGGCGCAAAGCCGGGGATGTTCAGGCAATGAGTTTCTGAGATTCACACTGAAGCGAACACATGCCAGCCGAGACTTGCATGTCTTGAAAAGACTGTGAGGCCATGATTGAACATATGGGGAGGCTGTGAGTCATTGAGGATGCGGGCCCCTACTGTTTGAGTGGCCCCCCGCAAGAGTGTACAACAGGTCTATAGTCTATATTTTTGTTGGAAAGGCTGTCCATTACAGTAATCATTGTAAATTAATGCATTTGGTGACGTGTGGTGATGTCTATTAATGATATCAAACCCCACGCCAAAGTGGAAGTATGACTTGTCAATTCATAACAATCTGAGTATGATGAATTTCTCAAGGACATTCCAGGTTTGTCAAATATGTGTCCAGATGCATTGAACCCGGGCAGGCGGAGGAGTTGGCACAGCAGATGGTGACCAAGACCGCCTGACGACGACGAAACAGCCGGGAAAGAAAAAGGTGCACGCAAAGACAAGCAGCGGCACACAGTTCCAGGTGGCTGTCCACTGTTTGTTCAATTATGTTTTTCCACAAGCTGAAGGTGTCAAACTGGACGTTTTGAAGATTATGTCGGGCTGCCACTGCAACTCTTTCATGGTGCGCTGCCTCACCTGACTACGTGACTGGTTACAGTAGAGCATCTCCATTTCAACCATTTAACCTTCGACAGGTCACCATAGGACCCGAACATATTACCTATTCACTGAATGTTACCATCATGTGCGCCGGATATCGCAATGAACCGTGTTTGCATCGTGCCAGACATTTATATATTTGTAGATAAGCCCACGCACCCCACAAAAGGGTTTGGGCCCTAGAGGACGCGTTTTCGAAGGTCTTAGTTGAAGAGAGCCTACTTTGGACTCGGATGGCTTGGCTGTGGAAAGCACGACAGGGCCGGACGGCCTTCTACCTGGCCAAGAGTGAGCAGAGTTGATAGGTGTCACTCATACATTCAGTGACCTCAAAAAATCGAAGAGGACAATCTGCTGAGACTCGGATCCCGCAAGATTTGTGTGGTCTTTTCAGTTCTGTCAGAAGATGTCAGAAGTGCCACGGGCTGTTTCACAGGCCTCGAACCCTTTGAAATATTGTAGGTTTCACATAGAAAGAGCCACAACGGGAAATGTATGATTTGTGCATAAGAATCAGAAAACATCACAATCAACAAATATATACGATTGCACATACTCTGTGTCAAGGCCCCGTCTTGAATCTCCGAATTAAATTTATGTAGAATGTGTATATTAAGTACATTATATCCGGTGCATGGTGTCATGTTGTCTCGGTGTCTCGGTCATGTTAAGGTGGTGCCTCGGTCAACTGTTAGGTGGAATTTGGGCTATGTTTTGGCGGTCGGCAATGTTTAGGTGGGGGTTCGAACATGATTAGGTGGTGGTTGGGTTACCTATTAATATTTTGTGTTAATTAGCAAAATCCCCTTGACAAATAATTTAGGGAATCTGAAAAGTAGGCTGCAATAAAAACTAGTAGTAGTAGTAGCAGCAGGAGTAGTAGTAGCAGCAGCAGGAGCAGTAGCAGTAGCAATAGTATTGTTAGAATTGAATTTGCAAGAATAATAATCGTAATAGTCGTAGTGCACCTCAAGCAGCAATGGTGGTGGGGGGTTGAGGGTATTGATCAATATAGACAATATCTAATTTAATAATTTATAATATATAAATATATTGGATTAATTTGGAGAAACCAATATATATTTATGTTTATTAAATTAATTTGGACATATGAATAAATGGATGATTATATATTTTTTTCTTTATTATATTGATACGATATTAATTGATATTTTGAATTATTTTGATTATAGTTTTATGAATATAATATGGAAAATATATTATATTTTATATTACGAAAGGTAGCTAGGGGATATCTTGAGTTTGTTTTGCGAAGCAAGTGTGGGGACGTTCGGGTCTAATAATTAATCGTTTAATATAGACGTTTTTCTTTCTTTCGAATTGATTTTTTTATTTTTTTTAAATCTAGACCTTTCTCCCCCTCCGGCCCCTTGGAATTGATTTTTGAATATAGATTCCTTTTCCGTCCTTCTTTCCCTCTATAATTAATTTTCTTTTGGAGAACGTTTTCGTGAGCTTCTTATGTTTTTAGGATAATTGAAATCCTCTTGAATATTTAGAAAGAATGAATATGAAATTCTAATTGCGAAAGATATTTTTCGAGGGGATATATATTTAGAATTTGTTTTATGAAATACGTTATTTTTTTCTTGGGGAGCGCTTTCGTAAATCTCTTATGATTTTAGGATAATTTAAATCCTATGATATTCCGATTTAATGTTTATCGATGATTTGAACCATGGAGCAAATTCGTTTTCTTAAGAATTTTTTTGAATATTTCGAAAGTATATGTAATATATATTTGAGTATTTAGAATGTATATAAATATATATTTACGAAAAATCGCTTTTGAGGGGATAAATCATTATATCGAATATTGCGTTTTTGTTTCTCGTTTTCTCTTCTCTTTTCGTTGTTTTACCTTTCGTGTCTCTTTTTTTTTAGTTTTATAAAATATTTAAATATTTATGGAATAAATAAATTTAGTTATAATATAAGGATTATTGCCTTTGTCGTCGATTTCGTAGAATGAAAATTTTGAAATGGATTATATTTTTATATATATTATATATCGATAATTTTGTGGAAATTTTGGATATATTAAATGGATTTTCGCCAAACATGGTTGTTTTAATCTAATGGTTATTTAGGATTATAAGCCTTGTTTGGAAGTTTGTATGCACCCGCTGAATATTGGTTTTTGTTTGTAAGTAGCAGGTGGCGAGTGTATTTTTGACATTCCAGGTCTGAAGGGTTAGTAACTATTGTTATTAGGCCCAAACCATATTAAAAATGATTCTACGATAGCACAGCTGCTGTAGCGCAATGAAGCGGCCCAGCTCCAAAGCTGACATGAAGAGGCCTGCTCTAAAGCTGATATGAAGAGGCCTGCTAAGGTAGCTAGCACGAAGGTGAAGGCCGATAAGAAACTCAAGAAAGGCAGGACTAGGGCTTGGGGCCAATTACAAAGGGTGTGGGTGGCTTAATAAATGGAATTCTGAAACCACTAAAAATTCATTTGAAATTGCATCAACAATGCAATTTTGAGATTGCATCAACAATGCAATTTATTCAATCAAAGCCATGCTAAAGCCGTCTGGGTCTAGTTTCTTAATCTGTTTGAAGTTAAAGTATATATACCGTAGGTCCTTATATTGGTGGGTTTCCCCATCTACGTCTAATGCCAGACAAGTTGATTTATTTAGAACTAATTCTGTTGGGCACCTTTAAACGGAGTCACATGTACTGCATTTTCTCAAGTTAGCTGGTAGGGAAGTTAGCTGGGGAGGCTAGAGGGGTATGTTATTATCTTCTGACGATGAGCGTAAAGAACACGTTCCTTGTCTTGCCGAAGGCAAGATTGAAAAAAGAAAAGGCCATGAACAAATCAGTGTAGATGGGCAGGCAATACCGGTGCCAGCAAAAAACATGTTTCCAACAATTTGTTGGCTATGAGAGAGCCGTCACTGCTAAGCGGTCTGACTTGGCATCCCTGGATCCTGAAGATCGGATAACTCAGTGATCTTTATATGAATCTTTTATGATGATGGTTTTCAATTTTTGTACTTTTTGAGGTAAACCCCTAATGAATCCCCCCTGTCTTTCATAGTTTCAATGCGTAGAACATAAGGAACACGTAGTCCGAGACTTGTTTAACTGCAGCAAGCTCTTCTCCACAGCTGCTCCTGTAGAAGATTGCCAACCCCCTGACTCTGATTGTAGCTTGCTCGCGGCCACTGAGTCTGAGGGGCCTGATTGTGCAGCTTTTGGTCTAATACACACCAGCTCTGATGAAGGCAGCCTTTTGTTGGCTTCGGATGCTGATGAGTCCAAACCTGCCAAGCGAAGGTATGAGAAACGGAAACATCAGATTTTTTTCCTGGGAAAGGAGGTCTGTGTCTATGCGCTCCAGTCACTGCTGGGAATAGATACCAGCACTATCCAGAGAATCCGTCGTGGAGAGCCAGGGTACACAAACCAGAGAAGGAGGAAGTCACCGAAGCACCCAGTCTTTGGCTTCAGCATGGCTGACAAAGATGTTTCCACAAAGTGGGCTGGTGTGGTAATGTTTCTGTGGAAAACATACCAGAGTTGCGCCGAATTGATGCCGACAGACTTCAAAATGCCAAAAGATGAGGAAGCAGAAGTGCCCGAGACCAAGGACCCAGACCTTGAGATTCGCTTAGTGAATCACTTCATACAAAGTCTCCAAACCTACGCCGCTGATCCTGACCTGCACCTTGTAGGGCCTGGCACTTTTGCTGGACCATGTCGGCGGTTACAAGTTTCAAGCAGAACCGAGCTCTACTGGGAGTACTATGCTGCATGCTTGGCGGATAATGCAAGCCCTGCCAGCTACTCAACGTTCCTTCGTGTGGCTAACGCCATCCTACGTCCAGGCATGCGGAGTGGGCACTTGAAGTTCAGAGGTGTGAACCAGCATGGCAAGTGCAATACTTGCTTCGAACTAAAACTCAAAATCAAATCTGTTCACAAAAGCGAGCAGCGCCAAGAGACTTACCGCCTCTACTCGCACCATCTTCTATCCCAATGGCTGGATAGGCAGTACTGGAGCTATAGAGCTATGTCACATTGCTGGGTGAAAACAATGGTAGACATGGGCACCTGTCTTGAATTGCAAATTTCAATGCCTTGTTTTCAGATCTTAACTTGCCTTCAATTGGTTACTGCCTGTTCGGCCAACCATCCCGGTTTATTAATTGATTTTTTTGAGCCCTTGAATTGCCGGCTATAAGGATGATGATTGCATCTGCGGCGTCCAGCTGTCTATGTATAAACATAGACGGCATGGACCAATCCAAATTTCGTCTACCAAGGGTTGCCAGGGTCAGTCAACCCAAAATGTTGGTTGGCTTGTTCAGGCCAACTTTGCACGTGACTGGCAGCTGGCTGCATGGAGTTCAACTCCACTTTTGGGTCAGCGACGAGGACCTCAGGAAGGACAGCGAAACGCAGCAGGAAGTGCTGAGCCGCACCCTGGCGCATGTGTACCAGCGGTTCAACACACTTCCCTTGGGATGTGCTTTGCAACAGGACAACTGCTACAGGGAGGGCAAGAACAAGCACATAGTAGCCCACATGATCATACTGGTAGCTCTGAGGTGCTTCAGGTTCTGTGTCCTCAACTTCTTGAGAACAGGACACAGCCTTTTGGATTGATTTCAACCAAATGCTTTTCATTGTCAGCTAATGTGGGGGTGAGTCCTGAAAACGCCTTTTTTGCCTTGTCCTCCTTTGGAATTATATATAAGATCACGAGGACCTGGACCAGGCCTTTTCCCAGCAGGCTGCTATCATATGCCGCCATACCTTTGACACTCCGGACCAAGTGGTTGAGATCATGGACTCTTCGTGTCGTCCTATTGATCCTGGAGAACAACAGCGGAAACGTCACAAAAACCACAAGGTTGAAGCTTCTGCTGCAAAGCTTGATGAAGTGGCAGAGTGGAAGGATTGGGCTGCAGTTGCCGGCGTTTGGGTCAAAGGATTGCGACACTCAGAAAAAGAATATAAATTTTTCTTTTCTCAAGTGGTAGGGATTTCCTGGACGACTTATACCTTGCTGATGCCCTGAAGTCTTGTTCTCCGGACATGTTGGATCTATACACATCACTCGCCGATGTAATGTTGATCCCAATTCCATGGGCTGGTGCACTACGCAAGAGCTTCGGGGTGGCTATGCGCGCAAACCTGGGGACATTATCCTAATAGCAAAAAAGCGGATGGCTGATGCAGAGCCATATGCTGTGGTGGTGGTCATGACCGAAGATCGTGCGCGCGCCTTGGAGCTTGGATTCCAACAGCCACTTAGCGTGGCTGCACGGAGGCCGTTGAGTGAGAGGGTCAAAAAGAACATCAAGTCAGTGGCACCTAAATGCTTCAAACACAATGTGATCAATCAGGATGCTCTTTCATACCTGACTCGTTGGAGTCAGGGGGATTGGCCATGCCAGCCGAGACCTACAGCCTACAAGCATCTAGTCCATAGATGGCCGGTACCTTTTGCTTTGAGTCTAGCCACTCCATCTTGGGAGATCCCAAGTCGGAGCAAGCATGTGGATTTGACATATGCAGTTGAGGGGGGCGATGACGGCGACCCTTCTGATGATGATGATGATGACGCAGTGCTTGCGCCAATTGACATGTAGAAAATGGACGCCTCAATTTTTTTTGAAACAGTTTCTAGTTCTGACCATCATTTGAGTGTTCTAGTCTTGCTTCAACCCTGAAGGAAATCCAACGCTGACCATGAAGAAACATTCTTTTTGGCCAGTGATGCAGAGGACAGAACTGATCAAGTGGTATTACTAAGCTTATTAAATATGTTTTGGAACCTTTAAGTTTAAGTTATAACATTTCATAATTGTCAACCTCCCAATTGGGGGCACAGCAATTGATCTATGTTGGAATGAGGCTCCAGGCCGAGGGCTCCGAGTCCGAGATCCTGGAGGCTTCGGACGATGGCCTGGAAAGCCCTGCTGCTGCGCCTCGTTCTCCTTTGCCCTGCATGAGTGTGCCTTGGCATGGCGCTCGATGCAGCAGTGTTTTTGAAACCTTGTTTTGGAGCCTAGTTCTTCTTTGGGTGAATGCATACTATTTGCGCTCACCAGTTCTGAACCATCAAGGTTTCCAACATCATTGAGGAGCTCTTGAAAGTGGATGATGTTAAGGGCTGCCTTCAGTCTACTCATGCTGCGCTGCCCTCCGGAGATGGTGCTATTAAAGTGAAGGTTGCGTCCATTTGCAGCGGTCTTGGAGTTGCAGAGATGATCTTTGATCAGTTGAACCCTGCATTGAAGGAGCTACTTCACTCAGGTCGAGCCTTGAAGGCAGGATTGGCGTCCAAAGTCAATATTATGGTTCTTTTTTAAGTTTCAATGCCAAATGTTTAAGCCCGAAACGGTTCCCAAATGCCCTGCAGTTTGAGAACGAGTTCATGTGCGAGATTGACACATGGAAATCAGATTGGATCAGCAAAGCGTTTGGGGCCAAAATCATCTTCGAGGACATGCGATGCTTGGGATCTGGCTATGGGAAGGATGCTGTTACTCAGCAATACCTCCAAGTGCCCAAGGTTCGCTGGGAAAAGAGTCATCAAGCACGAACCCACCAAATAGTTGATCTATACAAATCAATAGTAGTATGTGATTTGACATTGGGCTTGCACCCTGTCGAGGTGGCTGGACTCACTATCGGATATCCATGCAAATCAATCAGCTCACAGAATGGATCACCCAAATCATTCTTGGACGAGAGCTCGACCACTGGTGGTGGCTTCCGAGCTCTTCTGGCATACTGTGATTACGATGAAGATTTAGAATGGGTGATAACAGAGAATGTGAGAAATTTGACACATTCTCGGAAACAATTTGGAGGTGAATGCCCCATCCACCTACAAGATTCAGAGCTTGAAAAGCGGGGATTCATCCCAACCCATGCCCTGATCACTTCCAGCGAATACGGGGTTCCCCAATCCCGGACCAGATGCTGGGGTCTTTATGTGAAAGCCACCCAGTTCAGGCAGTTTGGACCGGACCCACGAAGTTTGTTTTTGAAGTTGACATGTCCGCCAACACCCATTGACAAAGTGGTTGACCCGGCATTGGCCATTGAGCGTCCATCTACTCAAAGGGCAGCTTCGGGCAAGAAGTGGGAGGAAGATTTCATTACTATGCAGAAAAAATATGGGAAGGCATCAACCAGAAACAAAAGCACAATGTGTTTCATGCCAACCCCAAGTTCCAATCTTTTGCACCAATTTAATCAAAATACGGGCCTGGATTGGGGTTGTCTTTTTGGATGCACCTGCCCCTCAGGTGGCTGTTAAGACAAACCTCAAGGCGCTGCAGAAGAAAGGTTTGCCCTTGACCGCACGGGAATTGTCCATCGCCGCGGTCGCCGTAACAATCCTCCAGCAAAGGGGCATGGACCCATTCGCTCACACAATGATCATTCAGGTGGACCAATCCTTAGTCAACGGTTCTATTCTGTCTAGACATGTCCAGACACAGCCATCTCACCCCTTCATCTAAGCACACCTGAGGACCAAAACTATGAAAGGAATACATTTTGCAGTTCAAATCCATGGTTGTGCCCTTGCCTGATTCCCAATGGCAAGTACATCATATCCTCTCAATGGAGATTGCTTTCTGGACAGGACCGGTGCCGGTGAAGGCAATTATACCAGTGGTTGTAACCTAGCTTGTTTTCAATCTATTGCGGTCCACATTCTTACATCTCTTGAAACCTTGGAACATCCCAATGGAACAAGCAAACATCCCAAGTTTACTGTGATTCATCCTGTAGATTGCATCCCCAGGAGAAATTGAAATTGCAGGGCCTGGGTTTGGACGACATCACCAAGTACAAGCTCCACCTGCTTACCGACAAGCAGCAATCCGATTTGGCTGGAAACTCGTGCTCCCCTTATTTTCTTGGGGTAACACTGTTTGGGTTTAGTTTGAGGCAACCGGATATATGTTTTCAACTCATGAGTGGTGAGATTCACTAGTGGGGTTTGCACTGCAGCGATCCTCACCATCCTCTGCTGCTGGCAACCATCCAAGCGTGTTGCCCAATGAACACGCTTGCTGAGCTCTGGCCTCTAGCTAAGCTTAATTCATTCTAACTTTGCGGCATCACCTCATTGAAAAACATCCAATGAACAATGTAAATCAACTTCATAGCCTGGTTCAATCAGCCACGGGGTGATTTTTGCTTCCAATTAGAACAGACTAGCCTGATTTAGATACTTCATGTGCAGGAAAAGCGCTTTTCCAAGCACTGCAAGTTTATACTGTCATTGAAACAATAACTAACAGTAACTAACAGCAGATCCTTTCCCATTGCCGCTTCAGTATGCCAAGAATCCTTTCAACATGCTCTCAGCCTCAGCTCAAGAACAGGACTTACGGTGGGATGGCCCCCAAGAAGAAACTTAGGTGTGGTCCGGGGCCGGCGAAAGCCATAGCTTCTGGTGACAAGAGTCAGGCGGTTGCCAAAGGTGTGGATTCTATTTGTCCCCTCATGCGCGCAGTCAACGCGTGCATTGATTCCATGTATTCACTCCGGCACAAGACTGCTGGACATGTTCCCGCTGGCTGGGTTTGCTTTTCCTTTGCAGAGATTCGGGAGGTGTTGATGCACTTTACCTTGACCAATTTTGTGGCTCTGCCCGGCCTCCTCGGGCGTGAGCTGCGTGGGGCTCCAATGGGCGATGCTTTGAGTGGGGCAGTGCTGCGGCTCTTCAAGTGGAGAAGGGAGGCTGCGCAACTACCTGTTGAGGAGGTAGACACTGTTTGTTTCCGCAGGTCCTGCTCCAAGCTGGTCCCTCTCTGTGGTTGCAATATGTTGGTCCTTGACGTCAATTTCCGGGACGACTTGCGCATGTTTTGCGTGTGGGACGGGCAAGCCATCATTGATAAGGAAAGGGTGGCGCAATGGGCTATCTCCAGGCTGCGCGCCCGATACCACTACGGCACCATGAACTTGGAAGAGTGTGAATTTCGGACATTCATTGGTTTGCGGACGGAGTTTGGAGATGAGGGCCTTTTTTTTGCCCCTGTCTTTCCTAACCCGTTCGGAAGTTGTAATTACCACACGGTCGACTTGCGAATTTTGCAGCCATGGTCATCGTAGACCCACGGCGGTTATTAAGGGATGGCTGTGCCGCATCTTTCATTTGTCCAGCTGCTCCGAGGGAAGGGCTCTTGCCTTTGAAGAGGCTTTTTTGTCTTTACATTCTTTGGTTGGATTCCCTAAAGACCTGCTTGCCAGGGTGACCAGAGATTGGATCCTTCGCTGGGTGTCCGCAAAGGATGCCCGTGCAGTACAGTGCGTAAGACTTGAGGTGGAGAGGGCATTGCGGCGATTGCGTTAAAAAAATTGCCGTCACTCATTTCATTTGCTCTTATTTGCTGTTTCTTGCTGTGCATCCCTATGGGTGCTATGTGGGGGCGATCCAATGCAGCATTGCTGGCTGGATCATTGTAAGGTGCTGAACTCCCCTATGACACCTACGTCCAGGTTGACATGCCCAATACAGATCGAGGGGGCTGTGCATGCAGTGCCTTTGGTTCCTGGTAGGAATCTGCTTTTTTTGTACCTGTTTTGGTACTTGGTATTTGTTCTTCTGGCGTGCGCATGGAGTGATGGCGTCTGTTCGCGGTTTGTTGTGATCTCGGTAAGGTGATGGAGCTTGCGATTCACAGGATGTTTCGGCTTGCGACGCATATGCACTAATTCAAATCTTCCTTCAACCTTCTTCAGCTTGCTACATTTCATTCAAATATATCGTAATTTTGGATTTTTTTTTTCAATGATATAATACCTCTTCCAAAATAATTAATAAAATATATTATATTTTAAAAATAGATATTAACGAATAATTATTTTAAGAACGAATTTGCAAATATATATATAATAATATAATATTTTATATATAATCGAATATATTCAATTTAAAATAATCTAATTTTATAATAGATTACAATATATATAATATTCACATATTTTTTTAAATAAAATATATTAATATATATTTTCAATTATCATTTAAAATCTGTATATAGATATTAATTATATCAAATTATATTAATATCCTATCGTATATAAATATATTAAATATATGGTTGATTTCCAATATATATTTATTAAAATGGGGTATTCATCGTAATTCCCTACGAAACCATTTCTAATCTCCTTTTTAAATTCCATTCATAAAGATGTTAAATATAAAGGCAAATCAATTGCAAAAATTGGAAGATATATTTAATTTTTTTAAAGATCGAATCTATTAAATTATTAGAATTCATTCATTCATTCACGACCGGCGGAGCGAATCCGCCCGTGTTGGGCGAGCAATCGACGAAAGTCAATCGGCGGTCTCGAAGGACAGCTAGCCCGGGCGGCTCTGGCATCAACTAAGCGCGAAAAAGTGGCACGAACGGGTTTGGTCGGTTGACCACTGTACGGTAAGCATCGGTCAAGTTGTTGGTTCGTGTCAGCCAAACGACATAGATGTCTTCTTCCATTGCTGTCACGTGTGGGACAGAGATGGGTACTCGATCATCATCACACAGAAATCTGCCGCCCCCCGTGCGGAGGAGGCATTGATAGTGGCCTGTGGTCGGTTCATGACCTCGGTGCAAAGCAGTTGCAACAACCTGATATTCAATCCATGTGACCGTCCGTCCGGATGTATGCATGAAGCACGGCATCAAGACATGTTGTCGATTCCAGCTGATCAAGGTCTTAGATCGAATGCCAAGTGCTGGAAATCGATTGATCTGCAAGCAAACTGTGGTAGCGGAGCCAGCTAGACCTAAACAGTACGGGGGTTGGGAGTGCCACATGTGAACAAGTTCTTGCAAGGTGCATCCGACGGGCTTTTCTTCTCTCATGACGATTGGCGAGCAGGTCCAGCCCCAGTCCTCTATCGAGGCATCAAAACGAGCCTCCCAGCGAGGTGCCTGCGAAGTCGTCACGAAAATCGGACGGTGCATAGTGTGCCTAAGCCAACCTAAGAATTCAGCCAGATCATGCTGAGCCCCCTTGGCATGTGAAGCGAACCAGCCATCAAGCAAGGTTCCCAAACTGCTTGGATCGGAGAGCCCCAGAGAGTTGGGTCCCCGGTCCAGCAGCCGAATGAGGGGCTCCTTCCAAGTGCCAAGCATATCCCAAGAAAAGGTGTTGTCCATACAACAGGCCCAAAGTTCACCGATCAAAGCGGTGTTCATGAAGCAATCGTTGGCCTCATTGCCAAGGCTCATCTCTAACAGCAAAGTCCTCATCTTTTGAGGGTCCGGGCCACCGCTTGTGCCAAGGGTGATCGTTGCAATGTCGAGGGTAGTAGCCGCACTGCAATCAACTGTGTGAGACCATTGCCTGTGAGCTTGGTCAGGAGGTCGAACAATTCCTGGCTGGCCGAACTCCTGAGGGAGATGTCGAGTCTCCAAGGAATCACCACATTGGATGTGGGCCCCAACTGGTCCGAAGGCATCGGTTTCAATGCCGTGAACCGATGAATCAGTTCCGGCTGGTTCCCAAGCGTGTTGATGCGTTCGATCATCTTTGAGGCTTCCTCGGAGGAGATCGGGTCTCGGGACGACGGCTTCAGTGTCTTGTCCTGATGGTCCCACTGAAGATAGTCCCATGCATTCGTGGTGGTCAAGATCTGTTTGGACCGAAGGGCCAGGATCAGTTCGTGGTCGTTTGACCCGGGCCAGGACATGCTCAAGTTCGAAGAGGCATGTTTGAAACAACTGGTGTTGAAGAGACAAACTGTCATGCACTTGAACGTGTTCAGGATGGAATGGCGCAAGGTCATCTGAGTTCCACGCCCAAAAGATGGGATGTACTCGGGTGCAAACATGAAGCAGGTTGAGGGGTACTGCATGCTCAATCTGAACCTGCGGGTGATCTGTGAAATGAGCCAACCAGGGTGTGACGTGAACATACCAGCTCAGTCTGTGTTCAGGCCCAAAAATGGGTGTGTGAACCACCGCAGAGTACGAACTGCTCAATGGATGCGCACAAAGATCATGAGTCATCTTGGGGTGCCAAGCTGGCGTGTCAAGTGGCACGTGCAATCCACAGGGGCTTGGCCCTTTGCATGGTGAGGCAACAATCAAGGCCCTGACTTGCTTGTCAATGACAGTCTCAGGTTTGTCATGCACAAGCACCGGCAGGTCAGACTCGGACATGGTCATGGTGGAAAGAGCGGTCCGGTCAACAGGTCCATAGTGCATGTCTTTGAGCCATTCGATCAACAATGCTGGGCACGTGGCACGTTGGTAGTACAATCTCAGGCAGCCTCAGTCGTGAAGCAGCTCAGGCAATGAGCACATCCGAGTCGACCATGCATCATGTCCCTACTAGGTCGAAAGCTAAAGAACTCCGGCTTATCAACTTGATGGGCATTCCTCAAATGTCCAGCTAAGCCCTTCCTGCCAATGTGGGTTTGGCATAGGGGACAAAGGAACATCTTAGGTGGTTGAGGGACTTCAGCTGGTGCTTGAGTCAACATGGCTTGGACTGTGTCGACACGAGGCTTCTTGGAGGTCCGGGCAGGCCCGGATGCAGTGGTCCCTAGGTCATGGTCATGTGACAACATGTGCTTTTCCAGGCCTGTCGATGTCAGGAAGCTACTATGGCATCGTTGACAAACAAAAATGGTTGGTTGCAGTGAGGGCAATGCTTCATCCATGGGTGCATCACAGACTGACGGCGGTGCACACGATGCTGAGGGAGCAGGAGAATCATGAAGGTCACCTGACAAATGTGGCGATGGAACTGCAGGGATCGATCTGGACTGCGCTGAGGCAGGCTTGGGGTCACTTCTAGAGGCCTTCATCATTACAGGCATGACCGGAAAGTGTTCAGGTTGGAAGGTGTAACCCAACATCGCTGACAGTTGAAACAGGACCCCACATTCATGACTGCGGACATTGCGGCACTCCTTGTCACAAAGCTACAGCGGCCACGACCACTGCCAATATTGACCAACGACATGTGCAGCATATTGGGCAGCATGTGCAACCATCTGCGGATGCTGATCTGTGTAGTGCTTATGGATGGATCGGGCAGCTATCTGGCAATGACAAAAAGCGCAATGGCAAGACAGTTCCTTAATGAGGGCTTGATTCAACAACAATCCCGGGATCGACTTGTGACGTAGGTGCATCTTCAGATCAGGTCGCGCCACAATCGGAATGATCATCTCCTGAGCCGGGTTGAATGAGGTGCAGACCCTTCGATTAATGTGATCCCTCAATCTATAAAAATCCACAAATGAATGAGAGCAGTGTGAACAGATTGGACGACCGTTCCAGGCGTCTCGCAAGGGATTATATAGATCATCCGGTTCACAAGGGATGGTATGTGCTTGTCTCATGTGGCGTTTAAGGGCTCCCACCTGCTTGAATGCTCGATGGCACTCCGGGCACTGAAGTTCCTGAGTGAGCTGAGGATCCGGTGTGTCGACCGGCATGGTAAGGTCGCTCGGCCATACATCTGGGGTGCAGGCACATATGTCAGGTGAGTCTTCAGTCATGGCTTCCAGTCGAAGTTTGATAGCACGGCGATGCAAGGCTTGTTTGATCCTATGTTGTTGTTGTTGAAGCTGGGTCCAAGGCGGATTGAGATGAAGTCGGTCGAAGAAACTTTGCGTCGATTCGTGTGTCAGACAAACAGGGGACTTAGTCATGATCCTATGATGTGTATTGATCATGCTTACAAGTCTGGCCAGACCTCGACGAGTGATCCCCATTTCATGGATGCCATAGCTGACAGTGGCCATAACACATTGACGATACAGCTTTAATCGGATTGCAAGTGGGTGAACCGTGCTGGTAAGCCAAGACCTAATTTGGGCGAAGCACCACTTAGCAGCTGCAATCCGTCTCATGGTTGAATCAAAATCGAATGCACGATAACTCAGAAACACTCCAAGATAGGCTGTTTTAGACACGAGGGGCAAGCGCCAGAGTTTCTCCGGCAAGATCAGCTCTGGGCCATCCGGTTTTCGATGTACCCAACGACGTAGGAAGCTAGGAATTTCGCGACCAACCAATCGGATGATGGCAAAGCTCTTTTGCATGTTAATCTTGAGACCAAATGCACTAAAAGTATCCAGTACATGTTGAAGCTCAGCTAAGGCCTCAAGTGCATGGGGTGTGGATTCAATGATCCAACGGAGGTGAACATCGTCTGCATAGACAACTATGTGGTCGCGGAGCCATGCAAGCGAGTACCTAGCCTTAAGGTCTAGGAGGATGGCGCTCATTACAAGGGTCCAAAGCAATGGGGCGTCTTTAAATCCCTGTTTAATGCCCCTGCAGGCAGTGACATGTCCAATCAATTGCTTGAAAGGAATACAATATTTGTGGGGGGCCAACCATGAATGGATCAATCGCAGAGCATCTACATCGAATTGGTATTGATCGAGCGCTTGAAGGACCAAGGATCTGGCTACCGTGTCGAAGGCCTTTTCCATATCTAAGGAGATCTGCAACCCTCCCTGCATACCCGGTGCATTGGGACTCGAACGAAAGTGGCTACATGTGTTGCGAACTTGTCTGCAATGGGAAGCCACAATGAGCAGGCAGTCACGAGTCCCCCGGGAAGGTAGGTAGGCGTACAACGGCAGTTGTCTCAAAATAGGAAAGGCCTGAGACAAGATTAGACGACATTGTAGGCCAGCGAAGACCTTGCTAACAGGGTGTTGGAGACATATGGGTCTTAGTGCCTGTGGTTTGGACGGGGTTTTGTTGGGTTTGGGAAGAAGAAAGATCCACCCCGTGGTCCAATGTGGTGGTGGTTGTATTCTAGATCCCATCCAGCATTCAACAACAAATGTGTTCATGATAGGCTCGGCAAGGTTAGTGGCAAAATGCTTCCACACCAGAGCTGGTATGCCGTCGGGTGCAAGGGCCTTTGTACCAGGCAATGCTCTCAGGGCTTCAGTCAAGGCCTGGCGGTCGAATGGGGCTACGGTGATAGGGTCAGTGTTAAACTGTGGTTGGTGATCATCTGAGTACAAGGCAGTATAGTATTGTTCAATCTGTTGTATCTCCTGGGTCGGAGACAAAGGCATGCCATGTGGATCGTACATCTGAATACGACGAAGCCGTTGCTTAGGGCAGAGCTGGCGAATCTTGCGATACCATTCAAACGTGTGGCCATGCAGGGCCAGATTAGCCCCTTCCGCAAGAATGGTTTCCAGTTTCTGACGTCGATTAGCTCGACTAAACTGCCTGATCTATTTGTGACATCCCAAATAGGTCGTTACATGTTTCCAACATCTAAATAAGGATCCCAACGATTGGCCTCTGATGCGAAGGGCCTCTCTACGTGCATTCTACATCCTGGAGGAAATAGACAGGAGCTGAAAGGGAACGGAGCGAGGAGAACGTCGTTTGGGGAAGTGTTGAATACACAGTGCACGCAAATGGGTTTCAAGATCAAGCATACAATCCTAAGCAGGGCGGTCAGGGATGGAAGTCAAGTCATTGATCAGCTGTGCACGATCCTCGAAACAAACCCACTGGTCCAACTGCGCATGGTATGCATGTCTCATGGCAAATCTATCAATCCTATTGAGCGGAGAGTGAGCTGGCTGAGGGGCATGCCACTGCGGAAGGGTCACCAGCAAGGAATGATGATGAGGTCCACTAATACCAAAGTTCCTTTCGAATTGAGTGTTCGTGAGCGGCTTCATGCGTCGGTATCGAACCTACTTCTATCGAATCAAAATGTAGTCAATGCGAGAGGCATGAGCACCATGAGAGAATGTGTTTTGGTAATCCCCTTTACAGTTGACGGCAATCAGGTCCTGAGATCTCAGAATTTGCTGCAAGACATGGTTGTCCTTGTGCACATTGGGTAGTCTTCTAGGGTCTTCCGTTCCAACAAAAGGTGGATCAGCACGAAGAACAGTATTGAAGTCTCCAAGAACAATTAAGTAATGGGCCTTAGGAATATGATTCAAACAGTTTTGAAGTGCTAGCCACAACTATTGTCGTTTTTGAAGGAGGGATTCAGAGCCTTGACATGGATTCCAGGTATGTTAATAAACAATGAGAAAATCAATCGTGCGCTTAAGAAATATCCGCACATGCAGGAGGCGTCCTTCAATCAAGGTAGCCGTGGCCAATCGATCTGTTGGAGCGAGGTGGACACGTACCATCAACAAGACGGAGGCCTGTTTGCAAGCCGAATGTATATAGTGCCATTCGGAGGTGCTCCATATAGCCGAGAAGCGCCATCCCGTCTCTTGTATGGCCAGCACTTCAAACGGTTAAGTGGAAGCCCAAATCAGTAGCTCATCATAGACCAATGCTTTCGAGGTATTCCAGGTCATGCAGCGAATGCCAAGTACAGTGGAGACTAGCGTCAACGCCTTCCGAGCAGCCGGCAGTTATCTGAAAAATTCACGGAACCTCCATAGGACATCTATGGGGAGGAGCATCTTCCCTCGGTATTCAGCCATACCATGGCGTAAGGCCCTATAACATGCTCTTTGGTACGCGCGCTTAATGCGCGGCCGGGCAGAAATAAGGCCGTAGCCACCAAAAGCCCATCCCTCATGTAGCTTCGTGGAAAGAGAAGGTGTGTCCACCGGATGACCTCCACTCTCGCTCAGAGCAAAGGAACTCTAAGTCGCTCAGAGCAGAGGAAGTCTAAGCAACCCTCACGCCGGATATAAAAGGAGGTTTAAAAGGGATAACATCAATTCGCATATCCCCCGGAATTAGGACCGGAAAATCCAGTTCGGCCTTCAATAGAAAAATGGCGGCAGCCAGAAAGAAAGAAGGCCAGTGCACCATCACAAAAACAAGCTCGCAAAACTCATGGCACACCGCCCCAAAGCAGCCGTGGCTCTTAAACTAAAAATGGCGCTTAAAATTATTAGAATTATTATTATTAAATTTCAATATTTATTTTCAAAATTTTAAAACCAATAAAAAAAAAATATACATATTAATTTAATAAATAAATATTCAACAAATAAATCATCGTCTAACGCAATATTATCACCAACCTAATGCAAAAATATACGGTTATCGTATTTAATTTTTATTGTTTTCCTTTTTATTTATTCTATTTTATATTTTTTAAATATACATATATATTTTCAAATCTAAAAATAAATATATATCTATATATATCAAAAAATATTGTTAAAATATATTAAATTAAATTTCTAATATATATTATCCATGTTATATCATTAAAAAAAAAATATATATAATTCATTTAATATGTTTTCCTCAATTATATATATTAAAAACAAGATTCATATATATAATATAAATAATTTTATTATTATTATTTTATATATTAATATATAAATATATAATAAAATAATATAATCAATAAAATATAAATAAATATATTATTAATCAAATCAATATTTAAAACAATATATTTCAAAAAATATAAAATATGTAATTTACAATATAAAATCAAAAAAATATATAATATATTTATCTATAAATATATATCTAATATCAATATCCAATCCATAAATATTCTATACAATATATAGGCAAGAAGATTTAAAAATTATATTTATATATATATATAATATTCTTTAATTTTCTTATATTTATTTATTAAATTAATCTTTTAAAAGATATTAAAGTTCCTGGCCGGATCGTACAAAATGTTTGTCTTCAAAAAGAATATCAGGGCGGTCGATCATTCAGGGAGATGTGATCTATTGGTTCGTTTTACATTGATGTTATGGAAACAACATTATGCCAAAAATTGTCTGTTTACAACGATCTCTCCATTGCATCGGCTCCTCTTCCTCCGTTGCGTCGCCACCAATGGGCGTCAGCCCGTCGCAGCCAATCTTCTGATTCAAACGAGCGATCACATCGCCACACCTGGAATTGCCCGTGAAGGAGGTCGTTTTTGGTCGTGCAATTCTAGTGGGTAGACTTGGCCCAACAAGACGTCGTATGGTTTCCTTCGCTGAACCCAGAAAGCCGATACAGAAGATGTGTTTCAGGACGTCGGTCTTGATGAGATTCCAGCGATTCTGACACAAGAACACGGACTGAGATGGTACAGTTGGAGGGTGGGCGCGCCGACCTCCTGCCTGACTTCAGACTGCCATCGAGGTGGTGTTTCGGTGATTCTTTGGAAGACTCAGATGTAAAATCACAACGCACATATCATCAAATTTGACAGAATTAAGAATGTCCGAACATCCACGCAAGGGGAAGGGATCAAGAATCAATGCAAACATATGCAAATATGTCCATCTCGCAACGCCCATGCCATGAACCTATGATAACCTATGTCAGGAGAACCCGTGGGCTGAAGCTTTACTCTTCATGATTATCCCAGGCTGGACAGGGTTCCCAGATCTCCAAAGGGCTCCAAGACCTCCATAGAAATGCATCAAACGTCATCAGACCATCCTGAACCACGAAAACACAGAGATGTCCACAAGGTTCTGGCATCCTGCTTCACAAGCTGATTCAGTGATATTCACGGTTTTGTGGGATGTGCAAGACACACATCTATAACACTGAGGTTGATGAGCAAGCATTCACTTCAACTCCAGCCCAAAAGGATTTCCCTCCGCCTTCGCATCCCTTCCCGCTGAGTCCGCCGCGATCGACCGGTCACAAACTTCCCGTGCCAACTCACGTCAGCCATCCGCACCTGGACGATCGGGGTTCCCCGCGCCGCGATCGGAACCTCCGTGGGATCGGAGCCGCGACGAACGCCAAGACGCGCGTCACGCGCGATGCGGAGAGGTCCAAACCTCCACAGGGGCTTCGAAGCAGCCTGGGCGATCTGGGTCGGTGGAGAGACCTTCTCCATCGGCGAATCCCTGAAAAAGATCTGCGAATCCGTCAGAATCCATATATGAATTGCCCTCTTTGTGCGAACCAAGTGGTGAAGCACAACATGTGGTTGACATGATCAGTGAAATGGTTTCTTCAGGTCATCCCAGTCCCAACCTCATCTCCCTCATCTGCACGCCACGAACGTCTATGACTCAGAGGGGGATGGATTTCCCTCGGGTTTTGGAGCATGTTTTGATCCCCATCCAAAGGACATCAAAGGACTCCCGACAAAATATCTGCTAAGACTGAGTCATTGTTTTTTCATTTAATTTCATTAAGAATTCAGCATTCAGTTGGAGGCCATCCCTATTAGGTTGGAGGCCATCGCTACAGATCCTCTGCGCAGACCTTTATGTCCAGGAAGTTCGCCCTCGCCCTCTGCAACCCCAGGTGCGATGCTCCGTCCCGCACTTGGAGGTCACCACATAGTTACACCGCACAAACTCAGGGGCGCGCGAAAATGGAACAGCAGAAGCGGTCACGATTGGGTGGGCTGTCCCAGAAATCGGAACAACATGGATTTTAAGGGCTTGTACAAACTGTTGAGCAAAATAATCCTATATATTTAGGTCTGAGGTTTTAAGGGACCGGCACCAGCAACCTGTCTCCACCACGTGCACAGCCAGCTCACAGCAGC